GGGGAAAATGTGATGAGTCCCAGACACTGTATTTTATCACTGAATGCTTCACAGCAATGAGAAACAAATGAGCATGAATTATATTGTCTCTAATCTTGAGGTGTATACACAGGACCATTTAGCAACGCAGAAGGGTACTGATTTATAGAGGATCAAGTAATCTGATGTCAGGATTCCATCAGGGATGGCCTATGGAAATACAAGCAAGGTTTTACTTCAGCCTTACTTTGCTGAGCAGGTATACACAGTAAACCGTAAGCACAAGGAAGAACTAAAAGAAAGAGAAAAATGAGGTAGGCTGGATATTTTGGAACCTAATTACTTCCTTTCCATCTCCAGGGAATCTCTAGGCAGTACAAATATAAGTGTTTTAGTTTCATTTAAAATGCTTCATAGAAATGTAGTCCTCTGAAAAAACTTAAAGTGAGACTATCTGAAATAAACGGAAAAGCTCTAGAAAGTACAGATGGCTACCTGGATAGCAATATCTTTCTGCTGTGTGCTCTTTCCAATGCAGCCTCACCCATAAATCTCTGGAAGGTGATGGAAACCTAATAGATAATACACAGCCTGTGCCAACCTGACAGACAATATCAGCATCCTCATCGCCAGTTCCTACCATTTTGCATGTGAGGAACTCAAGGCAGCTCTCATAGTTCTTCTCTCCATTTTTTATTATTATTATTATTATTATTATTATTATTATTATTATTATTATAACATTTCTATGCCGCCCCTTGCCGAAACCTCGGGGCGGCTTACAACACAATAAAATACATTGAAATACAATAGAACATAATAAATTACCATTAAATACAAAAATACAAAAAATACACTGAGTTACAAATATAAAATTAAAATTATCAGTATAAAATAAGTACATAAAAATATAGGAGGAGATTTTATCCTCACAACAACCCTGTGAGGTATGTTAGGCTGAGAGTTAGTGACTGGCCCAAAGACACCCAGTGATCTCCATGGCTGAGTGAAGGGCCCCAACCCAGGGCCAAGATCACTATGCAGCACCAGCTCTCAGTGTTTCAATATCAGTGTCCTGCACTGTGACCAGAAGCTCAGGCTACCGCAGCAGGCTCTGTCCTTGCTGTAGCCAGTCCCTATCAAAAGGCTATGAGAGGAATTTTACAAAACCTGCTGTTTTCTAGATCAGTCCCACATAGGGCACACTGCGTCAGAAGAAGTATTGCTGGACCCTGCTGTTGCTAGGAGCAAAGCTTACTGTATGGGTCCATGAACCCTCAGGCTACAAAGCTGTCCCTTAAGAGGAAGCGTGAACTCACTGAAAACTGACAAGTCCTCTTCCTGAAATCAGTGAGCATTTCAGCTATCATTCTTTCCATGTTAGCTGTATTCAACCTCAGTTTCAGGTTCTTCCAATTGTATTACTTTGATATTAAAACTGCTGTTTCATCGGTCAGCTAAAAATGGAAAAATAAAGCTTGGCAATATGAGAACACCCCAGTCTACAACTTCGCTGGCTTCATGAGGAGGTTAAACAGTACCCATGACAGAGCAGATGCTTGTCATGACAGGAAATGTTCTACAGGGATGAACAGGCACTTAAAGCCGTTTTGAGATTATGTAGTAGATGGGATTAAGGCAAACACAAAGCAATGTTTCAAACCCGTCTCAAATCCCGCAGTGAGATCTACTGATCAGTGATCTCCAAAGCTGCTTTGTGGGTCTAGAAGAATGAACCAAGTCACATGCTGGGCGTTCGTCTCCTAACCGAAGGTGTATGGCCAGGCTGCCAACATGTACTAGAGAGCAGGGATGGGACTGATATCAGCTACAGAGCGTCTGCATTCTCTTGAGACCTGTTTCAGCAAGCACTGGCTGCTCCTGAGTGTTTTTACCTGGTGATGGGCTTTAGAGGCAGATGAGTCTTCTGTTGGGGTAGCAGCCATTCTGCAACCCGTGAGCCTTTTTAGGGGCTGGTATTTCTGTCAGCTGGGCCTCACTGAGGGCTGATTCTATTCTGGTACCATATCTGCCAGGCAGATATGCATAGTTTTGTGCACATTTTTAAAATGTACATATTTTAGTTTGCATTTATCAATCGACTATACCATGTTTTTGCACATTTTTGTGTGCTTGTTAGTGGATGCATTTTTGCGTGTTTCAACGAATGCATTGCAAGATTGGAAATGTATGGGTTTCTGACTGTAAATTGAATTTCGTCTGTGTTTGGTTCTGGGAGATAAACACTGAGTGCCATTAAATAGAATGGCACCTTCACAAAGCAAATTTTTGTCCAACCCCTGGGCTTCCTACCTAAACAGACAGAATTAGGCTTGAGATTTCCAATAATCTTTGTTTTAGGAGCTTTTAACATTCATGTTATGGTGGGGAAAGCTCTTAACTCTATGCTTGCCATTTCATTCATGGGGGTATCTTAACACCACACATGTCCTATACATTCCATGGGTGTGCTTTTCACTTTTTTTGAATTAAACAAGAGTTTGGGAATCTGGAATGTGGGGGACAGGAGTCTCTGTGAGCCTGTTATGTCTCTTTGAACTCTCAGCTGCTGTAATATCATTAACCATATTCAACATCCTTCTGGAATGATTCCAGAAAATTTCACTGGCGATTTCGGGCACTTGTGTTATGGGTTTCCATAGGTTTCCATCTTTTAAGCAGTTTTTATGAAGCCACTGGATAACGTAACTCAGGATTACAGAGAGGTGCTGTCAGAATTCAGCATTCTCTTTGTCATCCAAGTCAGGTTAGGCTGTAGAACCGTTGAACTTGTACTTGGACACCCTAATGGGCTAGATGAGAGCCTATGCATTGAAACTGAAGCCTGACAAGACCAAGACATTAAATCTGGAAAACTGGTGTTATTCCAATATAATATTTATTTATTTTTCAATTTATATCCTGCCTTTTTCCTACAAAGGGCTCAAGGCAGCTTATATCATTCTCCTCCTCCATCTTATCCCCACAACAACAACCCTGTGAGGTAGGTTGGGCTGTGAGTCTGTGACTGGCCCAGAGTCACCCAGTTGGTTGCATGGCTGAGCGGGGACTAGAACCCAGATCGCCTGAGTCCCAGTCCCACACTCTTAACCACTACACCACACTGGCTCTCCAGTGGTCACACACCACTCCCCATATGGTCACACACACTCCCCTTGAAAGAGCAGCTGAATCATTTGGGATAGTTCTATAGACAGCTAAACACCCCAGCTGCTTAGAGGCACAGAGTGCCTTTGGAGCTTTCTCATGATTTCACCAGTTGTGACAATTTGAGGAAGAGGGTAGCCTGGCCATCCTGATCTGGGGTTTGTTACCTTCCAATTACTGCAATGAGCTTGAAACTGAGTCCAAAGTTTCTACTGGTGCAGAATCTGCCACTGGGAGCAGTTCAAGATGCTGGTACGTTCTGTTAAAACTCTTAATGGCATGAGGTCCACACCCATGAAGAAGTATCTCCTATATCAATATTCCCATTTACTAAGATCTTCTGCAGCAGACCTGTAGATGCTTTTTATCAAAGGTATGGTAAGATTATACAAATCAGTCCACATCTTGGTCATGTCAATTGCATATGTATGAATTCATGAGTATGTTCCATCCAGTTTCTGCATTATTCTGCAATGTGTATCTTTTTAAAAATTCACAGACGTTTGCATTTATTTTAGTCTGCAAAGTTTCCCATCAGTTTCCCACAAAACAATTTTTTGGCACCAAGCTAGAATGTTTTTCTTCATTCATGTCTTTTAGCATGCATATAATTTATTTATTAAGAGTTTTGTTGTTGCTTTATTATTCTATATGATTGCACATAGCCCTGAAATATAAACAGATTGGGCACTTTATTATTATTTTTAATTAGCAAATAAATAAAGTGGTTCCACTGTAACAACACACCCTGAAATTCAGCTTAATTAAATGTAGAAAATCTGCCTCATCTAAGAAAGCTTGCAGTTGAGTTGTCAATTCAAACATGATTTTGACTGTGCTCAGGAGTTGTACATTTGGAGGCAGGCAATAGCTTCCTCTCCGATATGCAAAGTAAGTGGGCCCCATCTTTAAGAAAGATGAACCATCACTTCCACCTTGACCAGGAATGACTGCCTCTTAGGGCAGGATGGAACCTGGCTACAATGGGTCAAGGACTCCTCTGCACACACTTGAATCAACCTGTTTGCTGGATCTCAAACTAGTTTGAACAGCTTGCTTCATTTACAGTCTTGGTGTACCAAAACCAAAAAGAAAATATCATTTGAAAGTATGCATTGTGGCAAACTTTTACAGTAATTGTCTCTTACATTCCATTCTGCTACCCTAAATATGAATTTTTTCTATCTTTGCTTCATTGACTTATCTTAAATTTCCTTCCCATAAACATAGCTATGCTGTTCCCATTCTTTTTGAAGCTGAAAATTTTGTTGGTGTAATGGCTAACTATTTATCTCTCTCAGTAGCCATGGGTATCTGTGGCATAGGATAAATAGCAAGGGAAGTGTCATTTTATATCTATACTAAATCATTGGCTTTAGGGAAAAGAAGATTTAACCCTTATGGGGTGTATTGACGGACACTCATTGATCTATGGATTACTCAGTTTAAGGGTGAAACTCAACCAGTGACTGGTCCCCGGTGTATCTGTGCATTTGTGTGTGTGTGCGCAGCTGTAATAGACCTGCAATTTTCTGTCATGCTTTTAGCCAGATTATGAAGCTATGATATAAAGGTTATCTCTGATCTTTGATTTTTGCTTTACTCATATGAGATTCATGTCTTGCTAAAGGAAAGGGAATGCAAATTTCATAACATTTCGCACCTGGCTCTACCAGGTTCCTTGTCCACAGTCTTAGATGCAGCACTTTTGAAGGCATTGATAAATGTTAAGCCGTTAAGCTGAATGACCAGTGGGTCATTTAAAAAAAACTATTGTGCTTAATCTTTTCTTCACTGATGGATTACAATCTTGACCTGTAATCCCTTTTCACTTTTGTCTGTCTTTTTCACAGCTGTTGTGAACTTGGACAACTCTGTGGTTGACTTAGAGACTCTTCAAGCCCTTTATGAGAATGTGAGTAGCAAGGGTAAAATACACATGTACTAATTATATGTTTGGGTAAACACTTTTTTCTTTGCTTGCAAAGAGGGCCAAAAGGATTAATTTGTGGCCATGGGTATGTTGCTGATTTCCTGTAAATAAAACACTATGCAGAAATTTTAAAATGCTGCCAGTCAGGATCAGGGAAATCATGTACCCCTTCCAAGACAGGACATTACAAATTAGTAGACTTAACAGAGTACTTTTGCAAGGAGAAGGCAAGATGGCCAAATCCACAACCTGCAGGGCCCAGTTTGGCAGGATGGAAGCAGGCTATTTTTCCCTGGGGCTCCCCGTCTCCCTGCTATTTTTTTTTTTTTCTTCTTGTTGTTGTCAGTGGAAGGGAAATACACCATGCCAGTTCCAGGGCTGGTGTGTTGGAACAGGAGGGATGTGGAGCCTGTGGACCCAATGCCATCCCCAATATATCCCAGCACACCCTGTTTTTGGCTGGCTGTGCCATTTGAGCACCAATGGCAAGATGCTGTGGTGATAGCGTCTCTTTCTCCGGCAGCTGGGAGAAAGCTTCTGGTGGTGCCCATCCCATCCTCCTCTCAAACATGTTATCTAATACAGTGGGAAAGCATATTTGATACCTGTTAGAGAGTTATTCAGATGTCTTTTTTTTTTTTTTTTGGCTCTGTTTGGTGTGTGGTTTTAAATAGGAGGTTAGAAAGGCATCTACCCAGGGAAGAGCCTTTTCTGTGATATTGCCCCAGCTTTGGAATCTGCTCCCTGGAAGGGTGCACCTGGTGCCAACGCTTTCTACATTTCAACACCAGGCCAAGCCCCCCTTTCATCTATCCACTAATTGAAGGGTTGATTATTTTATTATAGAATTATCGAGTTAAAATTAGTTGCATATTTTATATATTATATTGTATTTTAATGTGCTGTTAAGCTCTGGTTGTAAACTGTCTTGAGATCGGTATGGATAAAGATAGGGTAAAAATGTTTTAAAATAAATGAATAGGCAGCCACTGATTTCATTGTGGAATAGATAATTGTTCTTACACATTAGACCAGGGATTCTACTGTGTCTTTAAACATTGCAATTTTCCACATAACTTACCAGGTAGGAGTATATTGGAAATTATTCTTTTTTATCCCTGTATTTCCATGTTCTCATATAATGTTCTCATTAATTGCCATAGTAAACAAGATTTCTCTTCCACATATCTATTGATTTCACATTAAAACTGTCAGTTCATAAATGACATTGGTGCTACCTATTGTGAAAGAAAAACTAACATCCAAGCACAACACAAACATAATTATCCTATAAAAGTCATTGTGATCAGTTCCACCACCCTCCTCAAGTGGTGTGACAATAAGAGGAAGAGAAGAGACAATAGTCGGGCGGTATACAAAAATCTCAAATACATAAATAAATTAATAGTATTTATTTATGCCATAGTGAATTTTCAGTTAAAGGTAAATTCCAGTAAGTGGTGAACACTTCCACTGCACATGTGGTTTGTATGCGATGTTCCAGTGGAATGGCCAGTGTAAGTAGAATGAATATCTTGGCTTAAGCTTCATCCTGCATCAAGACGAAACCTAGCATTAGTCACAAAAGGGGTCATTTTGGACCCAGTCAGAGGTGCTTCAGGGAACCCAAATGCTACATATGAAAAAACCTAGGTTTGACTAAATGTTTCTCCCAGAAGGTTTGAATCAGCATAAGAATGGGTTTCAGATTTCAGCTAGTACAAGTAATTTAAGGCTTAATATTTCCTGAAGCAGGTAAAACCACAGAATCTGCATAACAGTGCTTGGTTTATTGATTTTTCTTCTGTATAAGAACAGTTTGGCCTCCAAACTTTAAAGGAGCATAAAAATGCTTCAATGGATTTTAATTCCATTTGCTGAGCTTTTAGCCCAGAGTCTTGTCTTTAGGGGGGGAAAAATAAGATGACATCCTTTTAAAATCCTTTTGTGCCTTTGGGGTACTAAAGCAGCCCACATAATTATTTTTATGCAAATTTTGGGACAGTTTGCCACCCTGGGCACATTTTGGTTTCTAAAAAGAAACCTATAAAAGAGAATGTGAAATTCGGGGACTTGTGAGCAAAATTGCAAAATAGACTCGCTTAGTCTGGTGCATTTCAGAATTCTTGGCCATTAGCCATGCTGACTGGGTCTGATGTAGGTGAAGAATGCTGATGTAAAGGACTGGGAATAGGCAGCTACAATACATAAGCTGACAACTCTGCAAATGATTCTACTGTTGTTCTTGCAGAAGAGGGTGTTGACTCTTGAACCTTGACTTCAGGATTTAGAATCCAGGCAGGTATTGATAGCTCAAGCTATTACCAGAGGTTTGTACATTTCCCCAGCAATGCTCTAAACACAGGCCTGAAGCTGGGATTCACCTTGGCAAAGGGAAGAGGCAAAGGAGCAAGTCGGGGGAATGGGCGGCCCTCAAGGAGCCAGTGTTAGGAATATGTGATTCAGCAAAACTCACAGAGGTTCTCTGAAACTCCTGCCTTCAGCCTATACCAGAGCTGCGCTTTTTCCTTGTACAAATGTCCCTGCATATCTGTAAATGTGTGTTCCCAAATGCATGCATCAATTATGCACATATTTAAGCATATACATTTTTCTTCCATTAACAAATATGTGTTTCTCTGCATTTTTCAAAGAACACATTTTTATCTGGTGAATTGCAAGCTCAGAATCATAGGGACTTATAACCACAGAATAAGTTTGGTTCCATGTACAGCTCCAAGAGATGTAAACTATGATTGAAAACAAATAGAAATGAATTTCTCACTTATCTTTTGCTGTCTCACGGTTAATTCATTGTGCTTAAACATAGCACAAATGTAGAGATATCAATGGTGGAGGAGTAGATAATAATCTACTCCAGATAATAATGGGAAAGCTTTGTGGAAAACTTGACTGTTTTTGCCCTTTCCCCCATGTCCCTTTATATATAATTTAGTGGATACTAAAGCATATTTATCTTCTTTTTGAAATATGGGCCCTGTTCAAATTAGTTGTTGAGCTGGGCTATAAATTAACAACAGCTAAATGCAAATTAAGGTAAGTATTAAAAGGAATTCCTTCTAATGCTTTTATCCAAAAGGTGGTTTTCCTTTAAAATATTATTTTAAGCTACTACAGAAGGGAAGCAGGATTTATTAAAAAAAAATATGAAACAGAAGAATCTGGGTGGACTTTATGTTTCATCACAAATCCCTTTAATCACGTCTAAAAGGAAAAGGATGCAGGGTAGAATATTGATACAAATACACGACTTGTTCTTGATTCCAACTGCAGAATGCCACCCAGTTGCTTTCTGTCCTATTAGCTGGCCCACATCCCCAGTTTTCACTTCAATACAAACAACAAATGTCTAGCAGTGCAATCTTGTGTTTCCCAAACATCACTGAGGTGGAAAATCGCTCCAACATCAGAAAAAAGAAGAAAACATCAAACTAAAGTACAACTTTGTAAAGAATTTTCAAAATGTGCCAGTTCTCATGATCAAAGGAACCCATGGTGGCTTAAATAGCCATTGAGGGTTTTGGGTGCCTATTTTGCAACTAAGTGCTCACCCATAACTTATGTGTTGTGCCAACCTGGCAAGATAGGATGTTGTTGTGCTTAACAAACCAACCAACACCCTAGAAGTGTCCATGGGTTCTGGAGGCTCTTTTTACCAAACAGCAACCCAGCCTTGGTGTGTTTGCACAAGATGCTACAAAGGGTGGTGGGGGGGGGGATGGATAGGTATATAGAACAGGTTATAGAACAGGTACCTGTATAGAACAGGTGCCTGTAGGTGCTCACAAATCATGATGGCTTACATAAGCCACTGTGGTGGGCTTGCTCATGTGAACCCAGTCATTATGAAAAATACTGCAGCCCTGCATATGTGATTTGCTAGGGTTCTTCTTTCTCAGAATTGGATACCAAAGAGAGAAAAGCTTGCAAAATGCTACTGATACTAGGAATGTGTACTAAACACAAGATTCGGTTCAAGCTTCAATTTGGCAATTCAGAAACAGCCCAGTTCAGTTCAGAGCTGGAGACCATGTGATTAGATTAAGGGCAAAATCCTAAAGCAGAAATCCAAAGCTATGTTCCTCACATGGTCTGTCATAGGAAATCAACAGTGATAATCATTTTCATTTTACTTTAAAATAGGACTGGATGAAATGTGTAGGCCCAGTAACACCTTCTGAGGGAATACACTGGTCCCATTTCAGAAACATCAGCACAAGCTTTTTTGTGCTAGGTGTCTTTAATTTTAATTTTTATTTTTAAGAGACCTGCTGATAACATTTTTGTTCCTTTGCAGACTCAGGTAAAATTCTCAGATCCCTTTCAGGGAGTGAAGCCTGCCAAATCACAGCTATGGGGGTTTTGTGCAAAAAAGGGCTTTACAATTTGCAAATTTCCAAAAATATATTTGCTTATCCTTCTGGATTTTTTGGGGTCAAATTTTATGAAAAGTACATACATCATAAAGGTGCCATTGGTGAAGAAACCTACAAAATTTCAGTTGATTTGCGGAGAACTGAAAAGAGATTTACTTCTTCCCTTATTTCCCAATTTCTATGCATTCATTTCAGAGATTCTGCTAAGTAATCTGTCACATCTTAGCAGTCACACAATAATAATATATGCAAAAAGTCTCTCTCTCTCTCTCTCTCTCTCTCTCTCACACACACACACACACACACACTCACTCACTCACTCACTCATATGCACACACAGTCACACATGATTTAATACTCAATTTTGTGAAAAAGACTCAACTCCTAGAAGTGCAGTTAGAGAAGACTCCTACCAGGTTTCAGAACAATAGGTGCAGTGACTCGGGAGCTATGATAAATGACATCAAGTGTGAAGCTTTTGTTCTGCTGCTCACTTAAAGTTGTGGAGAGTGCACTGCAAAGCTGATAGGACAGGGGAGGGTACGGTGGAGGCAGGACGCCTTCCTCATCCAACACGTGAACTTA